TTGCAAATCTTTTCTCCATTCTGTGGCTTGACTTCTCATCCTCTGAATGTCTTTCACAGAGCAGAAGTTTTAATTTTAATGAAGTACAGCTTATCAATTATTTCTTTCATATATCATACCTTTGATGTTGAATCTAAAAAGTCACTGTTAAACTCAAGGTCATCTAGATTTCTCCTCTGTTACCATCTAGGAAACTTTATATCTGATCTATTTTGAGTTAATTTTGATAAAGAGTGTAAGATCTGTGTTCAAACTTTTTTTTAATAATGGCAGTGATATGTAAAACTTTACAGGATGAATTTAAGAACAAATTAGTAAAAATGGAAGAAATTTTATATAATAAAATACTTTTATTTGCCTCAATTTTTATTACTAGGTAATATTTAGGCACATGGGAAGATTTGATCAGATAATTTCAGTGATCTCACACATTCTTTGTCATACTCTCTTTCTATGACACTTTTCAAGAAACACTCATTTAAGCTTACTATCAAGCAATCAGGCCATGAAAACAATTGCCATTATATTTTTATTTTGGTCCTAGATAGGTAGATTAATTTTTATCAAAAAATTAATACAAGGATTTATTTTTAATAACTAATTGAAAGGCTGTTTTAGTAATCAGGCCATGCAATTATGTTTTAATCCTAATTCAGGAAGACTGACCTTTTTATTTTGTGTTTTACAAATCCTATCACACTGAAATTATAATTTGTATCACTATATACATTAAGATATATTAGTATATAAAGATGCTTCTTAATTGTTTCACCCTATTACACAACTAATTTTAAAATACTTGCTTAACCCAGTGTTAAAATGTAGATTGGCTATGTGTCCAAGAAATAAAAAAGAATTAGTGTGCCTGAATTTTATCATGGGAAATGCCTGTGGAGGGGGAAAATAAACGGAAGGCTTCTTATCTCACCTAAAAGAAATGGTTGGAAAAAGATGACAGGCATATCATTCACAGTCCAGGAGCTCAGACTCACAAAACAGCTGAGCCCTAGTCAGGGAATTGTAGAATGTTTCCCTTTACACAGCACCTTACCACCACAACAACAGGGTTTCTATGTCATAATAGGGTTTGCAATTTAAAATTTGTGAGGTTTAAATTTAAATTCTATTTAAGAAGAAATCTCTAGGTAAGCTCAAGAAACAACAGGGAAAATAAATCAAGGCACTAGAACAAACTTAAGGCTCTAACATCTACAGCTAAAGGAAACAGAAAACAGTGTAACTTCTAGTTGGATAAACATCAAACCTCATACTAAAGCCCTATTTATCTCAGTTCATTTTACCAAATAGGTCATGCCCAGATATCAACAAAATGCTGAAGACATGGTTWAAAGCACAAAACAAACAAAACAAAAGGAAGCAAAGATATTAATGAAAACCACAACTTTGAAAAGACAAAGCAAGCATCAAAACAAAACTCAGAAAAACAGTGGTGTGCAGAGCTATTTAATAAAGGATCACAATCCATAGAGTTTATAAAGATTTGATATTAAAAGTCCTAGCCAAATTTTATATGTTCTTTATTGTGTGCACAGCATGATAATTTCCTTAATTAATTATCTTGTAATACTACTTAAGAAACATTGCTCTATTCAGATAACCAAAAGTAAAATGTCAGACATTCTCTTTCCAAAAGAATTATCAACTTATTTATAATCTTCTCACTATTGTCCTCTCAAGGAAGAGACTCAACTTGTTTTCCACAAGAATTTTCAAGGTAGTTATAATCTTCTCACTACTGTCCTCTCCAGGAGAGTGGKACAAAGTACTGTGGGTCAAGGACCTTCTCGTTCTATTCACTTCCCTTTTTCTATCCACTTCTCAGACAGATCAAGTGTCAATACATGTCTATTTTGTCTTATCAACTATTTCATATGCAAAATTATAAAAGGTGACAGTCTTTTATTGAGGGTTACAGGAAATACATTACAAAATATCCTTTTCTGTATCTATTCAAACTAGACTCACAGCTATTAGAAAATCAGCTCCAACAATACATTTCCTAATATTGTTGTTTTATATTATTTAATCAATTTAACTCAAGTAATTAATTATTAACTACCATTCAACCACAGTGAAGATAACATGTGTTTGTGATTGCAAGCCCATAGTAGTGCTACAGGTTATAGTAGTACTGTAGCACTACCACCACCACTGCAAATACTGATAGTAATAATAATAATAACTTTAGTGATTTTTATAAAGATATGCTATACCTTTTTATTTAATTKTTATGAGATATGAGATATAATTGTCCTCATTTTGTGTATAATAAAACCAAAGTTTTGAAATTTAACTAAGTTGCTTATAGTCACCTAAATAAGTGGCATTTTAAATGACTGAGATATAGTTATCTTCCTCACCAATATGTACTACTGCCTACTCCTAAAAATTAGGCCCCCTGAACACTCTTCCATTGCTATGTGAACAAGTTGAAATTCTATTTACTGTGAAATTTAAGTAGAAAATTCTGGAACTGTAATTATGATAGTTGGGGGGCCCTGAAAAGTTATGAACAGAAACATTGATACAAAGATTGTAGAATCATTAAACCAGGTATAATGCCATCTATTCTTTATGCCCTAAATTATAATCCATACTGTACTGAATACAAAAATGACCTAACTGAGATATGGGTGAGTATTCATGGAAGGAAAATTTTTATTGAAAATTCTTGGTCCACTAAAGTGCATGTTTTCCTCTGGTTATGGCTATTCTGTCATTGTACTGCAAAGATCTTATAAGTTTTATTTATTTTTAAAATAAATAAAGTTTTATTTATTTAAGGACTCAGTAACCTGTAATGGAAGATTGTACCTTTTTACTGACACTAAAAGCTTCAGTATATATTGCTTTGTCTCTCAATCATGAATCTTAGGACTTGATGCTATTGTACTCCATGGGGTAATCAGTTCTATATTAGAGCATATTAGATTCTGAATTAGAATATCCTGGACTTTTCCTTTTTAATCTCTCTGATACCTAGATGGTTGGTTTGTGCAAGAAATATGCTGGGCAAGAATATTGCTAAAGTTTTTTTTCTCAATATCTAACATTTTCAAAGGCTTTTTTCTAAGGCAAGTACAAGGCACGTGTGCAATTTACTTATATTAGAGAAAGCAAAGTTAATTGAACATAAAAAATTATTTACCACACATACTTTTATCTTTAAATTTGATGCCTAAAAAATACCTTGCATTAATGTGTGTGTGTRTRTGTGTGTGWGWGTGTGTGTGTGTGTGTGTGTGTGTGTGTTTGATGTGTGAATTTATGTTTGTAAATATATGTGAGAGTCATGGGGATTTTAATTTCCTTGTTTACTTTCATGTATTGAGTTTCTTAGTTTTACTACTTAATCTATTTCTATATTTTCCCTAGCTTGTTAAAGTTATTTCAATTTCATTTACCAAATTCCAATCAGGAAAGCAAAACTACTCTAAATAATCTAAATACATAATTATTTGGATTATTTATTATACTGGCAAAAGAGAAGTTGGAGAGTCAAATAGGATGGTGAAAGAATCCCAAGAGGAACAACTGCAGATGCCTTGAGCTTAGAGACAGAGAAGCCATTGAACTTCCAGAATCTAAAGGCTGTGGCTATTCAGTGGGATGCAGAACTGTATTGTGGTTTAATAGAAAAGAGGTGAGATCGTGGAGGTTGATGATGTCTAATAAGTAGCTTTAAACAAAGGAGCAATAACGCTGTGCCAGAAAATACTGCCCTGTTTTCCTCTAGTGGTCTCAGGGTTAGTTCTTCTGTTGAGGTCTCAGATACATATTTGTATCACTAACTGTTGTCGAGGGTAACCCAAATCCTGAGTTTTAGCAGCACAGATATTTAAACGATGATGATTATGATGATTCTTTTGTGTGGAGATGYAGTCTCATATGTAGTTTATTAGCTCTCATTCTTTTATTAATTATTGTATTTGAGGGATTTCTCTATACCATGCATACAGCTGTTTTCCATGCAATTCTCATTTTTCCATAGCTCATCACTTTGTGAACAGCACAATGTCATTTCCCATCCCACTGGTAATTTGAGGAGTTTCAGTTTAAAATTTTTATGAAAAATGATGTTATGAACATTTGATTCATGTCTTTTGATGAATTTGAATACATAATTCTGATGACTATAAACTTAGGAGCCATGTTTAAATATTTCCAATTGTTCCACCTTCTTTCCAGTACTTGATTATGTCCCATGTTTTCTGTTTTAGTCCCTTTTATGGATGGTGGTATTTTATATTGCCTTGATTTGCACTTTACTTAGTAATGAGGTTGAGCTCATTATTAATTATTTATTGAACACCTGTTTACATGTATTTATTGTTTTTTTTCTTTATATTCTGAATGACTCCTTTTAGGCAAGGAAATGTCTAAAATTTTTTCCCACTCCATTTTCCTTTCCTAAATATATTTTATTAAATAGAAATTAAAGTGAAATTAAAATTAAATTGAGAAAATGACAATTTATTAATATTTAGTTAGCAATTTTTAACAGATATTTTTTGATATATTTGCTATTTTAAGTCTATGATTTTTTTGTTTTATAATTCACATTTATATATGTAATCCACCTGGAAATGGATTCTGATTGGCATTTTAAGGTGTACTACATTGACCATAAAGGAAGAACAAGATCCACTTTTTTTCACAATTGATATTCAATAATAGTACCATTTATAGAAAAAGTCAATTTCCCCTATGACTCATATGTTTCATCAGTGTTATAATTAAAATGACTACTATAAATATATGGATCTACTTCTAGACTTCCTAAGTTGTTATAATACTGAAAACATTCACCAATACCACACATATTTAATTACTAAAGTTATATATAGCTCTTAATATCCGGTAGAACAAATTCTTCAAATTGGCTCTTTTTAAGAATAACTTGCCTCTTCTTGACCCTTTATTTTCCTACACATGGTAGAATTAAAATTTCAGTTTCGGTGGGATTTGAATCCTGGGATTTAACTCTGATTTCTCTGAATCTATAGATTATTTAGAAAAATTAAAGTGTTTAAACATGGTACTTTAAAATCAAAACAACAATATGATTATTATGAATGAAATCATAGTAATAGTATGATTAATATCTTTATGTTATATTGATAATTTTTTGTGGTGAAATTTATTSTATTAGGATTATTTCTTGAAACTTAATGCTTCCCTAAAAGGTATCATTTTAAAAAATTTTTGTTTTCAATTTTGTTTCTTGTTGTTGATTACTGTTTTTCTTTTGTGGTACCCAAGGCCTCATATGTAGACAACATTCTATCACTGGGCTATACCCCAAGCCCTTTTATTTGTTTCTGATACATAGAAATATAATTTATTTTTCATACTGACTTTTTTTATTGACCTTGCTGAATTGGTAATATTAACTTTAGGGTTGGTAGAGTTTTAAAATATCTGGGTATATATTCATGGTCTGTGAATAATGACAGCTTTATTTCTTCCTCTCCATTTCTTAGACTATTTGTCCTTATTCTTAGCTGAAAGCAATGGTGCAGTCCTGTAGTGTAATATTGTACAGAAGTATTGACAAATTTAACATTCTTGATTTGTTTTTAAACAAGGAGRAAAGTGTTTAACAATCCACTGTTAAATTCAACATGTGAAATAGGTTTCAATATGGCTAAATTTTTCACTTTAAAAATAATCCCTCTGGAGCTGGGGCTGTAGCTCATTGGTAGAGCACCCACCTTGCACATGTGAGGCACTGGGTTCAATYCTCAACACTACATAGAAATAAATAAAGATATTGTGTCCAACAATAATTAAAACTTTTAAAATAATCCCTCTGTCTTTATTTTTTATCATAAATGAATGTTAAATTACTTCTACAAATCACTAGGAAAAAAGTCACAACCAATTAAAAATGGGCATAAGATTCAAATACAAATTCAAGAAAGGTAGCATATCTAATGACCACAAAGTTTGTAAAAATGATTATCAACATCATTTGTGGAAAGGAAAGAGGAAATTAATCCCAGTATGATACACACTTACACATATAACAGAAAAACTGAAATTAAGAAAAACAAGGACCAATCAAAAATATCAACACTTCTTCTGGAAACTTAAATTTTTTATTATACATTTTCAAAACTGTATCTACTAAAGATATACACATGAATAACTTAGGTTGAAACATTGCTTCTCCTAAATATATACCCATTAATTATGAATGCATGTATTAATAAAATTATTACAGCTTCAGTCACATTTTCTAATTCTTTTTAGAATGGATACATAGATTGTAATATGGTATACTGAGAAACCACTGAAGTAGTATTCAAGGTTTAGTTCATCAGCCAAAATATCAAGATGCAAGCAGCCTTTTTTTTAAGCTCCAGATTGACACAGATCTTAAAACACAGCTCTATACATACGAGCAACATCACATTATGATGTGAACACCCCACTGTATTTCCACTGTATCCAGGGACTGTATAAGGATATATTTTGTTCATAAGGTTAACCCCAAACTGGCATGTGCACATGTTATGTTAATACAAAATATCTAAGAAAAAAAACAAAACAAATATAAAAACTTGGGTACAAGCCAGGTGCAGTGATGCACACCTGTAATCGCAAAGGCCCAAGAGGCTGAAGTAGGAGGATCAAGAGTTCAAAGCCAGCCTCAGCAAATGCAAAGTGTTAAGCAACTCAGTGAGACCCTGTCTCTAAATAAAATACAAAATAGGGTTGAGGATGTGGCTCAGCTGTTGAGTACTCCTGAGTTCAATCCCCAGTACCCCCCCAAAATAAAAAATAAACCCTCAGGTACAAGTAGGCTCTGTTTATCAACTTATATACCCTGCTTGCCCCTGTGAATTTAAATGACTCACTTTCTTTCCTTAACCTGGGTTTAGTCCACACATTATAAGTCACATTTACAAGCAAGACTGACAGCCATGAACACAGACTGCAGAACAATACAAAGTAGTATTCAGCAGTGGGAAGGGCCTGAAGAACCATTATCTATCTTTAGAGTTGATGTCACAAGATGTTTGAACATGGTACAAGTCTCTAGGCTAGATGAGGCATTAAGCCCAGGCACTGACCCTTCCTCTCAAGGCTTYCTTTCAATCTTTGTCAACATATGCTTACTACATAATGCCTGGCTATAACAGAAATTACTGTCATAAAAACTATGTGTGTATACATAGACATGTATAATTCTGTTTTTTTTCAATAAAATTTAATTTAAAAATGTACTAGGAATCTAACATGGTAAGAATAATTTGATTGTATATGGGGACATCTTAAAAATACAAACAAAACAAAAGAGAATTTAATCCTATTCATAACACATAAATGTTGTTATTGTTGTGATGATGATGATGATGATGATGATGATGATGATGATTATTTCATACCAGGAACAGGGATTTATCACACTTCTTTTTCTTGTTCAATATAATCACCCTTTTGAGGTTATTCTCAAAATACTGGCTGTGAATTTGGATTATTTTTATTTTTGAGAATGCTTAAACATGAATTGGTGTGAACATACATTATATACAAAGATATGAAAAATTATGCTCTAAATGTGTAAAAGAATTGCATTCCACTGTCATGTATTCAAAAAAATAAAATCAATTMAAAAAAGAATTGTAAAATGTGAAAAGGAAAAGTATAAGCAATTTGAGAAAGCTATGAGGTTTCTATAATGTTTTAAAGTTCTTGCACCAGTTTTCACTGGACTCAGGGTGACATTATTTATCAATTTTCTCCCAATCCTGTCTCTCTTCCAAGAATGCTTTTTTTAGTAAAATATCACAAATTACTTACCACATGCTTTTCACAATAAGCTAAGAATTGGACCCAGAATTTCACAAAGCATAGTAGTCTCATTATGGGATTTTCTTCACTCTGCTTTTTGTTTGTTTGTTTCTATGTTCAAAGATCCACTCTGTGTTCTGAGTAGATTTTCCAAATAAACAACAATGTTCATAAATTGTTCAGGCTCAAAAATATTTTAATTAATTCTTTATTTATTACAGATCTATTTGCAGAAATACTAGGTTGTAGATGAATAATGAGAAATAATGAAATAACAAAAAGTAGGTAAAATGAGGCCTGTATTTGGGTCTCATAGTCTTCAGTCACTTGTGAGTCTGTCAGTTCACATTGTGTTACACAGAGCAGAGTTGTAGGCCTTGTACAAAATGACAGCCTAAATTGTCCTTGACCACAGTGACTTTTACAATGACCACCAATCATTCTACATGCTTCCCACCAATTAAAGGAAATAGGAAGCTTTTTATCTTTGGCTGAAAAAGACAAGAATGGTTAGAATTAATCATTTGGGCATAAAATGTCACGATTTAAAAGGAAATACATTTAAAAAACAGACAATAGAAGAGAAATAAAAGAAAGACATTTTTACATTGGAATATTTTTGTCCCTATCTTTATCAGAACAAATCAAGGAAATCAGCAAGTACATAATTTCTTTTTTTGAGGGTGGGGGGATACTCAAATTGAACTCAGGGACACTTGACCTACTGAGCCACATCACCAGCCCTATTTTATATATTGTTTAGAGACAGGGTCTCTTCTTATGTTGATTTCTCATCCCTTATAACCATTAAATATGAGTGGCCTAATCTCCATCCTGCTTCTCATTTGTTACTCAGGCCAGCTCCCAGTCTACAGTAAAGGTTTTCCTCCTCCACAAGATTCCATTGCCCAATGGAACCTGACCTCAGCATTTTAAAAACATTGAATTATTGATTTACCCCTAAATGTAATCTTCTTCCTTTCTCTTGTAGCTTTTAAAATTCTCTCCTTATTCTGTACGCTGGGCACCTTCATTATAATGTGTTTAAGTGTGGATCTCTTATGATTTTGCACATTTGGCGTCCTGTATGCTTCTAGGATTTGGGATTCTGTCTCATTCCTCAAGTCTGGGAAGTTTTCTTGTATTATTTCATTGTATAGATTGCTCATTCCTTTTGTTTGGACCTCTATACCTTCCTGTATCCCAATGACTCTTAAGTTTGGTCTCTTTATGTTATCCCATATTTCTTGGATGTTCTGCTCATTGTTCCTTAACAGTCTTGCTGTCTATGTTCTTTTCAAGTTGAAATACTTTGTCTTCATTGTCTGATGTTCTATCACGAATGGATAAAAAAAATGTGGCATTTATACACAATGGAGTATTACTCTGCATTAAAAAATGACAAAATCATAGAATTTGGAGGGAAATGGATGGCATTAGAGCAGATTATGCTAAGTGAAGCCAGCCAATCCCTAAAAAAACAAATGCCAAATGTCTTCTTTGATACAAGGAGAGTAACTAAGAACAGAGTAGGGATGAAGAGCATAAGAAGAAGATTAACATTAAACAGGGATGAGAGGTGGGAGGGAAAGGGAGAGAGAAGGGAAATTGCATGGAAATGGAAGSAGACCCTCAGGGTTATACAAAATTACATACAAGAGGAAGTGAGGGGAAAGGGAAAAATAATACAAGGGGGAGAAATGAATTATAGTAGAGGGGGTAGAGAGAGAAGAGGGGAGGGGAGGGGAGGGGGGATAGTAGAGGATAGGAAAGGCAGCAGAATGCAACAGACACTAGTATGGCAATATGTAAATCAAGGCAAGTGTAACTGATGTGATTCTGCAATCTGTATACGAGGTAAAAATGGGAGTTCATAACCCACTTGAATTAAAGTGTGAAATATGATATATCAAGAACTATGTAATGTTTTGAACAACCAACAATAAAAAAAAAACATTGAAATATTGAAAGGTAACCTTTCTTTTATCTGTGTGTGTTTATCACCTTCTCTTGGCTGTATATCCCATAGCCTTTCACAATAGAAATTTTGTTAAAACAGCAGACACTTTTTGAATATTTCCATAATGAAATAATAAATGACCAAAAACAGTGGGCACAGTGAAAATTTCAGTAGTCTCTCAAATTATTGGTACTACCCTGCCTTCTTTCTCCCTTTAAAATTTTAGAAACTATACAAATGATAAATTTTTTCCCAGTCTCACTTTGCACTGTAATTTCTTGGATTCTGTAACATCCACAATCATGGAGGGAGAGATAGGGATCTGGATATAGTGTGCATCTTTCACTAATATAAGTTCCAAACTATAGGAGAAACTTCCATTTCTTCCCTGTATCATCACAGAACAAAAGTACAAATAACTATATCAGATCARAGCACATCAAGAGTGTGGATCACTATAATAAGTAGCTTTTATATTATCCAATATATTGTCTTAGGAATTACATATCTAAAATTAATAGACAAATATACACAAGCACTACTGGGCATATTTAAGAAAGTGGACCAGAATAAGTGAGCTGCTGTCACTAGTGYCTATAAGTATTTTTTTTAATCTCAGAGACTTTTTAATTCTAAAGTTAGCCAATTCTTATCCATAATTTTTGGTAAAATATTTTATACAGGTGTTTTATGTTTATACTAACCATATAAAATAAAGCAGTAATATCACTGTTGAGTTTTGTAATAAGCATCTGAAGCAGTTGAGAATTTTGTGACTGCACTACCAAAGTGCATAAAAAGGATATCTTTTTATCAGTCTCTGGACTTGTAATGAGTAGAACTCAGATATCTGGGAATCAGTACTTCAAAAAGTTCTGCTAGATAATAATTGTATATATTTATTAGTAATGATAATAATATTTACCCTGAGAGAGGAAAGATATTTCATAACCAAATCACCTCTGCATAATTATATATGTAGAGTAAGAAACATAGAAACTTAGAGARCTGTTTAGTCATGAAGCTTAGGTTTAGAACAAAGGTTACCAGAGATAATATATATTATTTTTCTATATTAAYGCAACTCTATAATTAATATAAATTTAAAAATTAAATAATTAATATAAGTAGGCAAATTAATGTAAATGTCAGTATAGATAGAGAAATTTTGAAATATAGAGATCAAGATAGACTTATAATAATAGCTATAAGATACAGATAGATACGGATTTAAATATATAGATGTACAGTCTGGGCAAGATAATTTTGATTTAGAGGAATAAGAAATTCAGAATCGCAAACTCAAGAATAGAAGAAACTTTCTGCTAAACTTTTGCATGAAAGTCATTATGAGAAAATGTGAAATTTTTCATTTTTTTATCACAAACGCAGGCTATTTCACTTATATATATCCAATGACTTCTAGGAGCCAACAAGTGATGACTACTGACACTTGTTTAAAAGAAAAAGACTCAGCAAAAACTTTTACTATATACAGATAATTGTGATAAAGTCCACTGATTCTTAAAAATTGCCTTTCTTATACCATAACTGAAGTGTTGCAATAACAGTAATACATATAAATAGAATAACAAATGGAAAATTATTTTCCTATACATTCTGTATATAAGATTTTAAGTATCAATGCTTAGCACCATGACTGAATTCTTGCTGCACTCTAGAATCAACTCACTTTGAATCTTCTTATAGTAACAAATCGGACTAAAATCTCATTTAGTTGATAGCATTTAACCTTCAGAGAATATTCAACATTGGCTTCAGGATCCAGCAAGTGAATTTTATATTGCATGCTTTTGTCCTTGTTTCTTGCAGTCACATATTTTTGTCTTTTTCTCATCTTTTCATTCTGTCTCTAAATATGTGCATTACTTTATATGATTTCTTTGATTCTTTTCTCTCCCTGTATCAAAATCTTCATTTATTCATTGATAAAATAGATAATAATTGATTACTTGCTATATATAATGCACTGTGCTAAATATCAGCAATGATTTGGAAGACGAAAAGTTAAATGTGGTCCCCGTATAAATTAACTGGAATAAAACCTCAACTCTAAAGTCTTTTTCAGAATACAGTCTCAAAAGTTGCTTTTTCTCTACCCTTCTATAGAAATTTATTACAACACATCTGGTTTAAAACATTCAGACATAGAAGCCATTTTGTTAAATATCTTAAATCATGATAGAGACAAAGACTGAAAGAGAAAAATCATTTTCTTTAACATAAGCAATATATTTATATTTCAATCGACAATTAAAAAAACAAGTTTATGCTGTACAATATGATTTAACATGTATACATTATGGAATGGCTAAATCAAGCTATTTAGCATATATATTGCCTTATAGCATCATTTTTGAAAGGGTAAGAAGTCAATATCTAACTTCTAGCATTTTTATCAAATGTAATAAGTCTCCTCTCATCTATGTGGGATATGTTCTCAATATGCCAGTGGATTCATAAAATCACAGGTAGTACAAAATCCCTATAATTCAATGCCTTTCCCATCTTGATTAAGTACTTATGTCCTGTGGTCATAACTTTTGCAGATTTAGTTGCAATAGCAAATCTAAAAAGAATTTTTCTTCTTCTTCACAATTTCATGTATAGAAGATTCTTGTAGTAGCTCTTAGTAATGTATTTTTTTTTCTTATTATTAATTCAAAAACTTCAACTTTTTCACATAAGAAAAGTACTTTATGGTTTTTCTTCAGCATATCTAACTTGTTAGCAAGTCTACCATTACACTTTGGGGGCATTATTAAGTAAAATAAGGATTACTTAACACAAACACTGTGATACTGTGACAAGTGATCTGATAAATGAGATGGCTATTGAGTGACGAATTGATGGGTAGTACATACAGCATGGATACTCTGGGGGAAAAAAAAAAAAAAACATGATCCATATCCCAGGAGGAACAGAGCAGAAAATCATAGATTTTATCATGCTACTCAGACTGGCATGCAATTTACAATCATGAAATTTTTTTATTTCTGCAGTTTTCCATTTAATGTTTTCAGAATGTAATTAACTACATTGACTGCAGATAACTGAAAAAAGTGAAACCATGGATAATGAAGGACTACTATATTTCATATTATGGACCTTGCTAAAACTGATTTATTACTCATACACCAGTTGATGGGCATTTAGGTAGTCTGCAAATTTGGGCTGTTTTGACTAAAAATGTTTGCTCTGCAGGACAAAATTCTGGGACTGCAGAATCCCAATTGGTGTTAGGTGGGCCTGGAGGCTCAGCCTGTGAGTATTAATCTGAAGTCTGCGCCCATGGGGCATGCACAGTGCTGGGTTTTACTGAAATGGACCCAGTGCTGGGCTCCAAAACAATATTCAGTGCTTCCTTCTTTTCTCTTCCCTCACATAACCGTTTTTTTTCTCTCCATTCTGTGCTTTCTGGGGTCAGAATTGTGGCTGGCCTAGAAAGTAATAGTGAGACCTCTAATTCTTATCCTTGGACTTAAAGCTTCTGACTGCTATTAATTTCTTTCCTATATATTTTGTGTGTGCCTATTATGGGTAGTAGATGAACTAACATTTGTAGTTCAGAAAGGAGGGTTTAGGAATGCTTGGCTTTAATGAAATTGGGAAAATTTGAACCCTCAAAATGTTGGCTGGAGAGAGTGTTGGGGGAAGGATGYTGTAACTAAAATAAATCTGTCTTTCCTACCCTCGTATATGTGTCTTTTTAAATTTCTGTTTTATATCCAGGTGCTATAATATCTCACCTGCTTTCTTAGTTCTTATGAATGTGTTTTCACATGGGGATAGTTGTTGAAATTGAGGGTTTTGTGGGAGGAGGTACACTACAAAGTCCCCTTTTTCGTCTTGTTGATGTCCACTCAATTTGGTCAAAAGTTCCTTTTTAAAATAAGTTCMCAGCCAGGCACAGTGGCACATACCTGAAATCCCAGCAGCTCAGGAGGCTGAGATAGGAGGATCAGGAGTTCAAAGCCAGCCTCAGCAACTGTGAGGCACTAAACAACTCAGTGAGACCCTGTCTCTACATAAAAAACAAAACAAGTCTGGGGATGTGGCTCAGTGGTCAAGTGCCCCTGAGTTAAATCCCTGGTACCATCAACAACAAAAATGTTCCCAACCCCTATTCTATATTTTGTTGCTCAACTTTCCTTAAGTTATCTTAACTAYACAAACCTTCACATTAACCAGAACAGTGTAATAACTTATTCAACATGGCAATGTGTTTTCTTTATCCAAAGATATCAATATTTTTGGACTGTGGCGACTAACAAAAAGAAGTTTTTCTAGCTGTCACATAGGAGGGAAACTGAGATTGCAGTAAACTCTTAAGCATAATAGACTCACAGTATCTATAAAGGTTATAAGAATTCTGGAGCTGCTCAGAAGACTGGGGCAGGAGGATCCAAGTTTGATGTCAGCCTCAGAAACTTAGGGAAATATTGTCTCAAAAAAAAAAAAAGAAAAGAAAAGAAAAGAAAAAAACGGTTACAGAAATAATGATCAGAAAATTTCCCTGATGAAAGTAGGGTATTCATCTAGTTATCTTTCAGTATATAATTAGATGCATCATCTTTAAAATAAGACTTCTTTCTCTGTTTTCTCAGACAAAAATTGTTAAGTGGGACTGAGATACAGAATACACTTAGGATATTCACTTCAGTTGACAGGCATTGATCAAAATGTGCAAACATAAAACTATCTGTTATATATTACCTTTTTTGTTTTCATCTGTCCTGTATTGTGCTTTTTCAGATATTGTGAATGAATCACTTCTCCTTGAGGTTAGTTTTTGAAAGTTCTGTCTACATAAGGTTGTGAATAATTTTTTAGAAGTGGTGATAGGTGTTTGGGAGCCAACTATAAAGAAAAAAATTACATTGAAAGAAGAAGAAAAAAGTTTTCAGAAATAAGGACACTATTGTATTCGTCTTTATTTTATGGCTTTATATTTTAGAAGCAGATTTAAAAATTATAAGCATCTTACACATGCTTAAAATCTGATTGAATAAAATGATATATATACTGGTAACTAATAAGGTTTCCTTACAAATCCTTTGTTAAGAGTTATGAATTTATCCTTTCAAAAGGGATAACAAATACTAGCTATTAAAATCATTAAGAAGAAAAAATTCATGTCACATTTAAATCTATATTTTTTACATATGCCAGTAAATGTCAGATAAGCAAGAAAGGAAATATTAATGAGCATGTTCTAATGAATTTTTATGAAGATGAAAGAAAATATTCTCATATAAATGAACTTCCACTCCTTGAGTTATGTTACAATTGAAATTTGTCCACTTCTTCCCTTTTGGTGGGAAATTGTTAGCTGAAGAGCTACTTATATATGTCAGGGTAGAACTGAAGTGTGAGAGTGTTATKCATGCAACAAATATATTTTGTGGTGACCTCCTATGATCTTGATAATGAAAGAAGTCTTGGTGATCCAGGGTCAGCAGAAAGATAAAGAAGAAGAATTGAACTAGAAATGACTGGACATGCAGCTTGTCTGCACTATGAACATGGTAATATGTCACACTTCTATTTTACCTGACTTAAAGTTCTGTTGTGGGTGCATTAAATGTGGGGCTGAATGATTTCAAACCATAAATTCATTCCATTCACAATTTTCCAAATCTATTTTGTCAAATTCAGTCAAATTTGAACAATGGTTAAACATACATTCATGTATTGATTAATTCAATGTAGCATGTTTTTTGTCCAACCACATAATACTTCAATTATGTTACTTATTTTTTCCATTTCATGTGAATTTATAGTCTTTACTAGTGAAATGTGCTTGAAAAATTAGTCAAATATTTTATCCTTCTGAGGATTATATGTAAATGTAAAGTGGCACTGTGTTGGTATCCAAATAATGATTCAAAATTCTAATTACCCTATCCTTTAACACTGACTTTTTTGGCAATAATATTCATATTACTTGWTTGTAGGAAGACACCAAAGATTACAAAAACAGAAAAAAGATATGAATCTTCATTGTGAATGATCTCCTAGGAGAAATTATTCCACAGATCTTCTGTATTAACTAAGGTGTGTTTGAAACATGGATAAAGTGAACCCTTATGTTTATAGAAATCCTTTGTGTAGTCTTACTTACTGAGGCTTTTTAAAAGCAAGAACATTACTGTGGGTGGTTGAATAGTGCTGCATTCAAAGAGATGGTGGATAGAAAAATCTGGTGGTGCCTTGTCACACCACAATGCCATCTGCTGATTCCTCTTACAGTTTCTTAAAGAAACTATACCAGTTCCCAAAACATGGGTAGGAATTACTGAGTGAACAAGGCTACTAATAGTTCTTCAGACACTCCTTTGATAGTTCATAAGTGCATGTTTTATATACTCATATTTATTATCTAAAAAACATTGTATTAATATTTAATCTCAATGTAATGAGAAATCCAAACTATAGAATTTTAGACTGAAATTGCCATTCGAAATATTTAATTTTACACATAAAAATATTGAGATGTTGTGGGTCAAATGATTTCATAATCCATATATTTTTCCTTTAAAATATATGTGACATTTAGGAATGATGGTGGAATGTGATAGACATCATTATCCAAAGTACATGAATGAAGACATGAATTGCTGTGAACATACTTTACATACAAATAGAGATATGAAAAATTGTGCTCTAWATGTGTAATAAGAATTGTAATGCATACCGCTGTCATATATTTAAAAAATAATATCAATTAAATATTAATATATGTATTTGACATTTAAATGAACATAAATCATGACAGTATAGTAATAAGTATTGATACTACTCTATCCAGCTTAGTTGTACTTTAAAGAAAGGCCTGTCCCCTCAAATAAGATTTATGAATGTCAATGCATGAATACCCACTTTATAAAATCACAATGCATTTTTTTTTTTACTTATGTGCTTCTCTTTGTATCATGGAGTTAGTTCTTTTTTTTTTTTAATATTTATTTTTTAGTTCTCGGCGGACACAACATCTTTGTTGGTATGTGGTGCTGAGGATCGAACCCGGGCCGCACGCATGCCAGGCGAGCGCGCTACCACTTGAGCCACATCCCCAGCCCACATGGAGTTAGTTCTGAGCTCATTTGTGTGTTAATCAAATTATGTTATAAGAGACATTGTGAAAAGTTGAAATTGTTCCCCAGACCTCATAGGGAGCAATGGTTCTTTGATCGAAGATTCTCTTACTAAATCTAAAGAGAACACTATGCATTTGGGTATAAATTTGTCCCAGTGAACCTAATTCATCCCATTCCATAGCTATAAGAATATTACTTATGGATATTAAAATTAAAATAAATATAGATATTTAGAAATTTGGGAAGGCTTTCTGAGCAATGTAATAAAGGGTTATAACCAAGAATTCTATAACTACTATTTACTCTATAAAACATAAATTAAAACTGAAGGGCTTATACTAAAAGTTAAAGACTTACTGGGAAGCTCATTATTGAGAATGTCACCATCATCTGACATAGACTGAGATTGTTTAAGAGACCATATGGGTTATTGTGCACAAGGTTCTGGGTTCAATCCTCAGTATTAAAAAAAAGGACGAGAGAGAGAGATACAGGGGGAGGTAAGCCTGTCATAGAGATATAAACCTAATTCAACCTAATTAAATGGATGTTAATTGAATACTACCATGTACCTGTGGCTGCTCTAGTTGTCATGAGATAACTGTGGGAAAGGACTGACTAGTTACTAAAACCAAAATTTAAATTCAATTAAAAACAATACATTGGGTGCTTTTTTATGTTAACAGAAATTTTGTGAACAGAATAAAAGAGAAAAGTTCTCATTATTTTCTATTTTAGTCCTTTCCAATGACATGGCAGAAGAGAAGCAATAGTGCTCTTATTTTGGATATTTTGCTTGTTAAATGCAAGGGAGAAAAACTCCAAACAGCAACAGGATAACATTATAGTCACTTTGTGACCCAGGTCTAACCCAATGGAGAACTTGAAAACTGCTCCATAATTTTTTGTTTGTTTTGGAACAAGAAAGCATTACATCAATGTATCGTTCTGCATGTCTAGCAAATTATACACATTCTGGAGAATCTAGAATTTATGATAGAAGTAKATTGTTATCTGCAGTTTTTATTAATTGAGTATAAGAATGTATATAATTTAAATTATTGTTCTTTACAAACATTGAGTTTTCAATCATGAACAATTAGATTATTCAGGAATGCTTGGATGCACTGATCACATGACCATCACTTAGGCACTTCAGATAACTAGAAAAGAGATAAAGACCCGTCACTACCTTAGGAAAAAAATATTTTTAAAAGCCATGCAAAAAATATGCACATCAATAAGACAAATGTCATCAAATTTCTAGGAAAATTGTTCCATATCTCATGAGTGTATTATTTTCCTTCTGTGGGTCTAAGCCCAAGTTAGAGGATTGCATATTCTGAATGTTCTGGAGTGTTTGTGAATCTAGTGAAAATAAATACTGACTGTGGAAATTAAAACAAAAATAAGKATGCTAAAGACAATATTTTATACTACTTTATTTTTTCTTTACTTCCTTATYCTCCTACAGTTATCCACTATTCAGTTAATATTTTAGTGTCTTCAATATTTAGGTTTATCAAAAAACCTCACCACCTTGGATGATAGATGTGCACAAAATATTTTAACCTTCTTCTGGTCAAGAAATAAGGAGAATAACTCATTGGGCCTTGAGTTCTCTTTTATAAGCAATAATTTCCAAATTAAATTCACTTTTTTCCTAAGAACTTATTATTTTTCATCACCTGAGCAAGAAACATTGAATTTTCTGAAACTCTTCTGAGAGATTTATTTCATTTATAAACATGCTTATATTCATTAGATACACAGCCACTTACTTTCTTGTTATTATCACTTAAAATTCAATAAAATCAAAACCAAAGCACTGTGTGAAAAGAAAAATTTATTAAATATTATTTTAAAGCTTTAAATCTAAGTTTAGTGATCACTTTGAGAAAGATCAGATATAGGGAATATAATTTCATCAGTCACCAAGTCCTCTTCACTATATATTTGATTTACTTGACTCAAACTAGAAATAAAATTATAATTCAGCCTACCTACATGAGGCTTAGCAAGCAAATAGCAGCAGATGACACTTTCATCTCTAAATCTAAAGAAACCACATGCATTTATAACCTTAAGTGCATGCATGCTCATCATGGCAGCTTTTTGGAGTACTTACTAGAAGGCAGGTACCATGCTTAAAACATGTTTGTCTTGTGAGGCAGGTACTCTAACTTCCATTGAAGAGTCACAGCTTCTGAGTTCGGGCAATGCCATCTCCTCCCTTCAACCCTAGGAGTGRGGGGATTACCACTGCTACATGAGATCACTGAGGGATAAAAAAGTAAATCAAAATACCTAGGTCACTCAGTATGTATTGCTTATGAAAACCGGGAGAATGAAGGCATAGTCTATTTGAAGACTCAGAACAACATCTTCTGGGACCTCCTAAGCTGCCAAGGTTAATCAAARCATGTAAGGAAAATGTGTGGAGTTTGGAAAACCCTGGAGAATAAAGGGCAAAGAAAATTTTAATTCATCATTTTGCCCCACATTAAGCATCACTGAACCAAAACAGTGAGCTCCCTGTGCTCAAATTTGCATCATAGTTACCAGAACAAGGAACATTACATATGGAAAATTCCCTTGACCAGTGAGCCGTGTTCAGTGATGTTTTGTTTTTTTTGGCCATTAATATAAAGTCAAAGGCTAATTCATGTTATTTTATTTTAAAAATAAGATTCCAGAAGTTTATCGTAGCTAAAATGATTGATTGATAGATAGATAAATATGTATATTTGTATCTATATATTTCTATGTATATGTATGGCAAGGATTAAGGAGAAGTGTGGGTACACACACACACACACACAAAAAAAAAACACTTTAGGAAACAAAATGAATGTACTGCGAGCATTTGTTACACAGTTGAAAGAAGAGCAGAGAAGCCAAACAGGAAATGATGGGACAAGAACAAGTAGCATCAATGGGAATCCCTGTCACTCCTTAGAGATAAAGGGAGATAGCCTTGTCAAAAATTGTGGCTCTCCAAAGGAATTATAAATTAAATCATACAACATGCAACTGTTTTATCTGAACTCTATCACTTTTCATGAAATTTTCAGATTTATCCCTGTTTCTTTTTCTGGTAGATAAGATTCAGTTGCATAAAATGTATTCCCCATTTCTTAATACCCACTCATCAATTGATAGACATTTGGGATGTTTCTACTTTTTGAATATTATGAGTAATATCCATTTTTCTGTATATATATTTTTATTTAAATTTTTTAAATTTTAAGATTTTGCTTTATTCCTAGCCCTTGTGGAGCTGTTCTGTGCTTCATACAACTGAAACCAAAGGTTTTAAACCCATGGCTGAATATTAGTGGATTGGTGGCACTGTGACTGGCTTCCTTTGGAGTGACCTTACTTTAGGTACTTCATTTGGCCTTTTTCACCTCACTTTCATTGAGGCTTTCAATTGTATGATTATTTCAGCTACTGAAGTCTAGTCATTATGTGTTCCATATAATTCTTCATTAACCTTAAAAACAATTAGGAACAGTGGTTCCCACTGTCACAGGCTCTCCAGCAGTCAGTCCTGTGAGCCAGTTCTTGTCACACATGTGAAACATGAAAATTCTGCATATGAAATACAGCAAGGCTATCGTGAGAAATAGCTATTAGAATAGTTATGTTTTAGACAAAGAATTTGGAAGTGGTTGACACTTTTTTTWAAAAAAAATAGCAAATTGCATCCTAATGTGCTTTCTAGAAAACTAATAGGATCATTGCCTTTTGATAATTAAACACCAAATATCCTATTTGATGAAAGCWTACATTTCAGGTTAGCAAGCCCCCGTGGAATCCAGTTTGAAAGCTCAGAATATCTCTAGAACACCTATAACTTGTATAAAGATATACTAATCCTAATCTTTTTTCAATCTACAAAAGTCTTATTTTCTTTTTTTATTTATATATGACAGAAGAATGCATTACAATTCTTATTACACTTATAGAGCACAAAGTTTCATATCTCTGGTTGTATGCAAAGTATATTCACACCAATTCGTGTCTTCATACATGTACTTTGGATAATAATGATCATCACATTCCACCATCATTTATAACCCCATGCCCCCTCCCTCTCCCTCCAACCCCTCTGCCCTATCTAGAGTGGAATATTACTCATCAATAAAAGAGAATAAAATCATGGCATATGCAGGTAAATGGATGGAGTTAGAGAAGATAATGCTAAGTGAAGTTAGTCAACCCCAAATAACCAAATGCCGAATGTTTTCTTTGATATAAGGAGGCTGATTCATAGTGGGATAGGGAGAGGGAGCATAGGAGGAATATATATTTGTTTATGTTTCAATTTTTTTCTGATATTCATAAACTCCATTATTAGGAGCACAAAACTGGGGTGTTCTGTCTTCTTGACCAGTTATTTTTATTATGATGAAATAATTTTCACTATCCACAGTTGTCATTCTTTGCCCTATAATTTAAGTTACCTGGTATTAAATAGCCATGGCAAATATTTTTTAGAAATTAATGTTCTCATCCTAGATATTTTTCTTAAAAAAWTTAATATATTTTTGTCTTTAGCTTTACAGAACATACTACTCATGGTATTGTTGGATTGTTTGATCCATTACCCCAGCAACGTCTCTCTTCACTGAGGTATTTAGTTTATTATTTAATGTGATAAAGTTAGAGTTATGTTTGTAATCTTACTATTCATCTCCTCTGTTCTTTGCTCATTTTCCCCCTCTTTCATTCTGTCTGTTAATGATTTAATTTTTAATTCTGGAATTTTGTCATATATTTTCTCCCACAGTTCTGGGAAACAAAAATCTAAAATTAGTATCAAAGGGCCTTAATCAAAGGGTGAGGAGCACTTTGCTCCCTCAGGAGTTTCCAGGGAAGAAGTTCCACCTTGCTTCTGTGGCTGAATAGCTCTCACTTCTGCCTCCATGGTCACACTTCATCGTGCTCTTTTGTGTGTCAAAATCTCTGCTTTTCCCATAAAAAGCCATCTCTCAAGGTATTTATCTCCTTATCTCTTTCACAAAACCTATTCAAACACCTTTCTTTTCAAATAAGGTAATATTCACCTGTACCAGAAATTGAACAGGGATCCCTTTTAAAAGGAATGTTTTGGTCAACCATCTCCCATGAAGTATGGCCCTTTCTAATCAAGTGGAAGGGATCAAACACTCTTCTCAATTTTGTAGGTATCTTGGAACCATTCCCTCTTGGATAGATCTTTACTTGTCCACATGCTCTTTCTTGACTGACCTTCACTGATCTCTCCCTTTATCTCTGCAGAATCCTTGAAGAGCAATCACCACAGATTGTCTGAGTTCCTCTCCATTCAGCTCTTTCTCTCACATACTCTGTCTTGACAGCTCTAGCTTCCTTGTTCTCTGGACTCACTGT